CGGATTCTGCCCGTGCGAAAAAAAGAAAATTCAATATTAGAAAAAGCCCGCATTCGGAAAAAGCCGCAGCCAGATTCGGCAAACCCGCAGCCAGATTAGGAAAACGCACGGAAAACATTCGATCACGTCCGTCTCGGCTACTATATCCTTCGTCCTTCGTTTCCGTATTCTGCCCGGACGAATCAGGGTTTTTTTTGGTTTTTGAGCCTTAGAGGCCTGCAAATTTACCGAGAAGAGCCTAAAAACCCTAAGAGGCTCTCATCCCCACAAAGCCCTCCAAATCCCCTAAACCCGAAAAAAAAACTTAAACCTAAACACCCTAAACCCTAAAATCCCTAAACCCTAAAAACCCTAAGCCCTGAAAACCTTAAACACTGGAAACCCTAAACCCTGAAAATCCTAAACCGTAAAGACACTAAACCGTAAAAGCCCTAAACCCTGAAAACCCTAAACCCTAGAAACCCTAAACCCTAAAAACCCGAAACCCTAAAAACCCGAAACCCTAAAAACCCCAAACGCTAAAAACCACCCAAACCCTGAAAACCTTTGACGCGACAAAACCCTGACCTAAACACCCTAAACCCTAAAGACCCACTAAACCCACTAAACCCTAAAACCCTGTACGCCCCAAAAACACCCTAAACCCTAAAAACTACCTAAACCCTAAAAACCACCAAAACCTTAAAAACCACTAAACCCTGCAAAAAACTTTAAACCCAAAAACACCCTAAACCTCCAAAACACCCTAAACCTTAAAAACCACTAACTAAACCCTAAAAACCCACTAAACCCTAAAAACATCCTAAACTTTAAAAACCACCTACACCCTAAAAACCCCCTAAACCCTTAAATCACCCTACACCTTAAAAACCCCTAAACCCTACAAAAACCCTAAGCCCTAAAAACCCTAAACCTTAAAACACACCGTAAACCCAAAAAACCTTCTAAACTGTAAACAAACCCTTGACCCGAAAAAAAACACCCTAAACCCTTAAAACACCTTAAACCTTAAAACCCCCTAAACCCTACAAAATCCTAAACCCTAAAAACCCTAAACCTTTAAATCACACTACACCTTAAAAGCCCCTAAACCCTACAAAACCCTAAACCCTAAAAACCCTAAACCCTCAAAACCCCTAAGCCCTAAAAACACACTAAAAAGCCTTAACCCTAAAAACCCTAAAAACCCTAAACCCCTAAACCTTAAATTTACTGAAAGCCCTGAAAACCCTAAACCCTAAATCATGCTTCTGTGTTTTAGGGGTGGGGCGGTCCAGTGTTAGTTAATTCCCGACATCCTGTTTTCTGTTTCTGGCGCTGCTGCTATTGAATCCGATCCAGTAAGTCTGTTTTCGGGATGAGGCGGTCCGTTTTTGAATCTGGACGTCCTGTCTTCTGAATGTGGCGCTGCTGTTTTTGAATCTGGCGCTGCCGTTGTTGAATTTGGACGTCCTGTGCTTGAATACAGCCGTGGTGTTTTCGACTTTTGTTTGCTGCGTGTTGCCGCTGTTTTCTGAATGAAGCTTCTCTCGGAACGAAAATTCGGGATAAACACCAAATCACAACACCAACCAAACAGAGCCCAACCGAAGAACTGCTGCAAAGGCCTCTCACCGCTCACGCCCGGTAAAGCTGCAGGCGGAAAGTGATGCAGCTTCCAACTATGCTTGAGATGAGACGTTGAGCAGCTTGCTAATTCAAATCCGTTAAACTCTGCAGTCAACCCCTTAAAGTTGGAAACCCCTCGGCCTCCATTCCAGCATTATTCTTTCTGGACTTTTGACGGTTTCCAACTTTACTGCTGTTTCCCATGTTGTGTTTCCAGTTGGAAACTTTCAATAAAATCTACAAACTATATAAATTGCACGAAAAGGAGGGCAAGAGGAGAAGAGGCAAGAGAGTCAACAGGAAAAGAAGGAAGACGAGGAGGCGTTGCAACGACAACAAGCACACATAACACTCACCATAACAGTAAATTTTCTCACCACGGCAACCAGTCTACCAAAGTAGCACGACAAAACGTTCAGTTGCGTTTTTTCCTTCAGCTCCTCGAGTACTTTTCTGCGAGCTGCCACGTGTTCTCCCACTGCCTTCCCGCTTCTCAGAGCCGCAGATTGCTTTTGATACGTTTTTTTTTGATTTTCACGGGCCCCAAATACCAAAATGTGTACTCCCAGCTGTCTTCCCGCTTCTCAGAGCCCCAGATTGCTTCGCTTTTTAGGACTTTCTAGGGCCCAAAATACAAGAATGTGTGCTCCCAGCTGCCTTCCCACTTCTCAGAGCCCC